GTATGGTGCAGATCATACAGGTCACTGGAATGTGAAAATTTAATTTTCTTGTGGAAATCTGGTTATTATGTTAAATTATTTGCATTGTTCTTACAAATTGTAATATTGATGTGATTGAATTTCTAACAAAGTTGAAATGTGAAACGCGAATGATTGTTTTTTTAAACTCGTAAATTCCTAACCAACGTGATAATTTTTTTTAATACGTTGCCTCTTTCGTTTGGTTTCCTGTTTTAATTGCATTGCAAATTTTCCTCCCGCTACATTTGCATAAATTGAGACAAACGAGGCAGTTTTGTGCGTGCGTCGTGCTGTTTGTGAGCGTTTTGCCCGACGACTTTTATATAGCGCACCCGCTTGACACCGCAAAATTTTTTCGCTCCACTTTGTCCTCGCACCCTTTTGAAAGTGCGAGAGAGCAAGTTTTATTTGAAAGAATCTGCGGCACGGCAGTTCTGAAAAGCAAACAAGGAATTGCAAATGAGGATTTACTCGGCGATAAATTCTAATTAAGCGCTGACTTAATTTCACACTGCGTCCTCCTCTGTGTGTGTGAATCGAGCGCGCACCGCCAAAGGACTTTTGAAATTGCATAAAAGCAAGAATTTCTGGGGCACATATACGGGTGAATTGCTTTTCCTCAAAATGTAACATGCCTCCGTGGTCCTGTACCAATATTATTTTTGTTGGTGGAGCCTTTATAATTTCTCTGCGTTCCATAATGAAATTTATATTTTTACTCCTCTTTTTTTTCCTGAAAAATATTCGTGAAACTTTCAAATACCAATACTCAGTACATTGAACATGGTTTAAATTTATTTGTGGTTTGTAGAAAATTAACTTTTAAAATATTTATATAAGAAATTTTTTGAAATATTTTGCAATTTTGATCTTGAAAATTTTAACTTAATTTTTTTTCTCTAAGAAAAAATGTTAAATTTCAATATTAAAATATTTAAAAATTTTGCTTGTGCTTTCACCACTATATTCAATGGGCAACATTTTCTTGAGGCGAGATAAGCGTTGGTTTGTGTATGCCCAGTGGACTCTGGTTGGCATTGCGTGCCTCACAAATAATCTCCAACCCCCCGCAATAATTAATTCCCACCGAGTAGCAATTTTAAGTGAGCAAGTTGCGGCGGGCGCGTGCCGCGGCTGGCGTGCGCCCCAAAATAAATGCGCGCACACACCGTTAATGAATTTTCCGGCAGAATCTAATTGATCGGAGGGCGAGATTCGGGAATTAATTTGAAACCTTTCGCGGTCCTCTGCAGCAGGTATGGAGCGGCGCACACGCGGTATTATGATATGCCATCGTGCTTTTTGTCTTTGGCTGAAATAATTTATGCGGCGGACGCGGGGTTTAATAAGGCTTAGAGTTCCGTCGTCGTCGTCGGCTATTATAACACGTGATCTATATATGCAGAAAGCGGCGGGTTTTATTTTTCTAGCGCCCTTTTTGTAGGTGCGTGATATACGATCGTTCACTCGAATGAAAAGCAGCTCCGTGAAAGAAAATCTCATTCGCGTAATAGAATAAAACTATAAGAAGGCTGAGCAGATCATATCTATGCTATTATTATATATTTTATTACACATGAGAGAGCCACTTATTAAAAACATGACCCTTGAGGGGGAGAATTATTATATCTTTGTCAGAAAATCAACTCACACTTGAATGCAAAAGAAATTTGAACCTCGTTCAAGTTTTCATTTCTTAATCCACTTAAAAGTGGACTTATCATTATGTAAGAAAAATTGTAGCTTTTTTATTTAAAGATGCGAACTTCTAACATTAATCTAACATATTAATGGGTGGACAAATTTTATTAATTTATATAAAAAAAAACACATAAAAAATTTTATGCGTTAATAACTAGTGTTTTTTAATTTTAAAATTACGAAATCCCTATTATTAAAAAAAAACACGCCATATTTAACTAGTCACTAGGCTATTTTAAAGTTCATTTGATCCAGTGCAAAGTTACAGAAACGAAAAAAATGGGATAATATTATAAAAAAGATTTCGGAGCTCAAAAATTTGTATGCACATTATTATTATCGTTGTGCTTAATAAAAATTTAAAATACTATAATTTTGATAATATAGGGGAACTTTATTTTTTTAATGAGAGAAATTAATAATTTGCAATTATAACTTCTAATTTTCTCTGCCTCCTTTTACTATAATTCGAATAGCATTCAAAGAGTTTCGGCATTTATTGAAAAATAAATTACATAAAGCTCAATTGTTAAAATATCAAATAAATCATGATTTATGAGTACTGAAAATATAATTCAAAGGAAAATTTTAATTTTATGATTATTATTGATATTGATATATAAGGGACAAGCACTATGAAAAGTTCACTGCTGCAAATTTTCCTTGTTCCTCTTTTTAACTTTTATTTTTGCCGTCCAATTAAACAATAATTTTTCCTCCCCAACGTACGGAACTTGACGACCCGGCACTAAAATTTTAAAATGATGGTTTTGTTCGGCGGCAGTTGGGCGCAAAAAGCGCCGGCGGCGGGTCCTCCAGGGTTGGCACGGTCTGCCCGCTTTTGCCGTCGACTAGACTCTATTTTGCATGCGTAATCTGTGCCTTGCCGCGCAGCACGAGCTTATAAAATTTCCAAGATTATTACAACAAGGCGCGCAGCGTTGCTTCTCGTCTGGTGGGACTCGCGCAGTCTTCTGTCATTAGCCCACAGTGCTTCGCAAAGCAGGACACGAGAGCAAACTTTGCTTTTGTTTGAGCCTAGAAATTTCTGGCACGCGTGTTTCTCTTTGAGATTATTTGAGCTCTTTGCCCAAAATTTTCTGTTTGCACTTCGAAAGTATGTACAATTTAAAATTTAAGAGTAAAAATGTAATACATAATGCATCTAATCCTTTTTTTTTCTTCAGATTGATCTAATTTCATAAAACGAGGAAAATAGTTTTTCCTATGCTTCAAATTCTTTCTGAATCTATTTTAAGTTCTCAAAAAATGAGAAGAAAAAGAATTTTCTAAAAAATATTTGAATATATTTAATTTATTTTTGACCAACTGCTAATGGAAGAACTGGTAATTTTATTAATTAGTTCCTAGTGCAAAGTAAATCTGTAGCTTGGGACACTTTTAACATGGATACTCCTATTATTAATCAAAAATCAAACTTTTTTATGGCTTCAAAACTGTCCCTGCGAATTGATTGCTTTTATTTTTAACCATTTAGCTTAATTATACGAATTAATATGAACAATCAAAATGTTGAGCATTTGATTGCCTGGAATTCTTAGGCGGATGAATGAATTTAATTTTGCATTAGCGTGTGGTCTAATTAAACAACGCCACTTGTTCTCGCGTGAGGGAAACAAAGGAGCTCCACCGGGTGTTATACTTTTGAATGTGACGCCTCCAACCCCTAATAATGCTTAAGTATGTAGAAGAGAGGCCTAAGCTCGCAAGAGAGCATTCTATGTAGAAGTGCGTTTGTGAGTCTAGCGGAGCAGTGGGCTCTTGGCGCGCGTATCCTTTAATGCAGATGAGACTTTGTTTTATCAGCCTTAATATTTAAGCTTTTGGTCTAGTCGAGTTAAAATCTCGTTAGATGTTCCGTGGGTTCCCCCGCGAGGGTGCAAGGAATCTTGAGGACGAAGAGAAAGAGGCACGCCATTAATAATGAAGCAATAATGCGCGACGGCTAATCACGTTTGTTAATATTTCAGCCGCAGGACGTGCAATTATTTAAATTAGCGCTGCGGCGAATTATGCGGATTATTAATAATCCGCGGGTAATGAAGCGAAAACCAATTGATCAGCCCACCATGCCGTGCGCACATTTTAAAAGCTTTGCTGCTGCTCTTTGCGCACCAGCCCTGATAGCAGAGGGGGCGTTAATTAAATTTCGGGTTTGCTGCTGGATATTTTGCGTTAAATTCCGTCACTTCAAACTTTCACCCAGCAATCAACTTTATTGAACGAACAAATATTCTGTTAATTAAAAAAAATGACAATTTGCCTTTAGCATTTATCTCTTAATCATATTTTAATTATTAAATGAATTATTATTTAATATTTATTTCTTTACTTTACCTCACCATGATGACTAAAAATATTATATTTGAAAAAAAATGACCGGCAAAGTTTTCGCAACTTGCAGAGGTCTTTTTAAAAGCCCAAAATCAACTATATTTTTATTTAATAATTTAATACAATAAATAATTAATTATTGTTACTGTTTTTACTCTACAATATTATGTATGCCAAAATAATTGTCGATCCAATTAATATATTTCAATTAAGTAATAATCAATTGTTTTGTTCAAGAAAAATGCAAGAATTTTAAATTCTAGTTCTTGAGAGGAAGAAGTATTGTTTGTTGAAAATAATTTAAAAATTCATTCATTCACGGATGTTAAAATGTGCAGTCACTCACGGACTCTTAAACTGTTTGAGCGCACTTGAAAAGTAAAGTTATATTGTGTACGTATGCGCTGCGTTCACATCTCAAATTGTAACAACCTCTCGCCATTATTCTGCCTGCTGTTCTCTCTCTTCCAGCTTCTTTAATTGCTTGCACTAAGGCAACGGCAGCGCAACTTCTGGTGCGTTCACAACTTCTTTTCCGCGATAAAAAACAAAATCGATGGAGTACTTGCTTTGCTCTATTTTTAAATGTCTCCACACAAATACAATTAAGTAACTTTTCTGCGAAGAACACTACGTTGCATTTTTTCACTTGCAAAAAGTTAAGACACAATGCGAAGCGCCATTTATGTTTTCTTAATTGGCACTTCTAATTAAGAGTTTCCAAACTTGTTTTTGCTAAACCCTGGAAAACACAATGTCAAACACAAAATAAGGGGCTTCATTACATGTTTATTATTTGAAGTTGTGGGTGAATTTCCAAATTTAATTTTTTATAAAGTTGCTCAAGGGCATGTCACTTCCGTTTTTCTTCCTGTTGTTAAATTCTTGTGAAATTAACAAATTTGTGTGTTCATATGTTTCAGTCCCACCCACAATTCGCGGCCAACCCTCAGCAGGATCCATGACAGTTCGCAAGGGCGGCTCGGTGACCCTAGAGTGCAAGGCGTCCGGCAACCCCGTACCAACAATCACCTGGACGAAAAAGGTAGGAAATGTCCAAGTGCCAGTCAATGTCACTGCAGTGACAGAAATATGGTTTTGCCGGGGCGTCGAGAGTGACACACTCGGGCGAAGCACTTCCAAAACCACCAGAGAGACCCGCCACCGTAAAAAGGGCGGCACATTGGCATATTTTAACTAAAACACAATTCCACTTAACGTCTTTATTATTGAAATTTCCTCTTATGCAAATGTGGCTTTTTCCCACTTTATGTCTGGTTCCCATGCAAAGGAAAAATATAACAAACAATAGTCCTCGCGGCTTGCAGTACTGTGAAGTAATGATGATATCGTTACTGCGTTATTTGCGCCGTCACGGGTGAATTAATATACAAGGGCAGGAAATTTGGAGCGCCGCCGTTTTTGGGAAAACGAAGTTGCTGGAATAATAATTGGCTCGCTCTGTCGGCAGAAAAGATAGAAATTCCGGAAATGGGTTCTAGAGAGCAGACAGAATTTATTCGTTTGCATGCAGAGAGTTATATTTGCCGGCTACTTTGCTGCACGTGTTTGCATTGCTCCAGTGTAAATTCAAAATAATATATCCAATGGCTCTGCAGGCAAAATAAAACAAACGCCAGCACGGGCATTAGTGGCGGTCTTCATTACGTCGCTCCTAATGCACCGCTCACCATTTGAATCCATACTCAACACAGAGGGAAAGAGAACCGCTCGCTGTGTGTGCACACTTTCTGGTGCTCACGTTGTGTTGAATAGACAAAATGGATTCGCTTAAAATTCTTCCAGTATTTGAATTTTTTATTTAAAAAAAATTTTATTTAATTGCATGTAACATATTTTAACTAAATTAATATTAAATGAGCAAGTAATAATGTTTTATTTTTATTTTAAAATTAATATATAATTAAATTTTGTTTTATTTAAAATTTCATTTAAATTTTGTTTTATTTTAAAAATGAGAATATTTGAAATTAAATAATTTATTTTCCAGTATTCAATTTTTTTTAATTAATACATTGTTGAAATTATATTTACAATCATTGCAAAGGGATTTAACTAGAATAAATTGAAGCTCAGAGTCCTTTGAAAATCTTAATTAACAGCGTGATTAAAATTTAAATTAACTAATTACATTATAAAATTGAACTTTGATCAACAGAAAAATAATTTTATTCACTATATTAGTTATGCCATTATTAACCCCTAACTAAAAATAATCATTTGTATTGAAATAATATTAATTATTTCTTACCAATATACAATAAAACTTCCACCCCCCCCCTCCCATAAGCAATTATTTAGAGCTGGCAGAGCTATTTTAAAATAATCCTCAAGGTCCTAATAAAAATTGTAACACTTTCCTAAAACATCATTGCCTAGCACTATTCAGCTTGCGCGGATCCACACCAGTTGCACTGAGCACCGGGTGCAGACCTTAAGTCAGCACCGCAGTGGCGGCTCCAATATTTCATCTGGATAGCGCTCAGCCCCATCGCTTTGATGATTATTACAGTTCTTGCTGCACATTGCTCTGCTGGGCTCTGTTTATTATGTGGTGCATCTCTATAGCCGAGTCGGCATACACATGGGGGCGCGCCTTATCTGAGAGCCCGTGAGGATACCAGCATATGCACGGCAAATAATATATTTACTTGTTGACTGTCTGGACAAATTTCACATACGCGAATTCACAGTTGAAATTCAGAATAGCAAGAACAGCTTTTGTCTGGAAATAGCTATTACGCTATTGACAGCAAATGTGCGTTTAAAAGCAGCTTTAAGTAGTGGCTTTAATTAACATGTCGGAATTGGTTTGCTTTCAGGGCGGCACTCTTTTCGGAGGCGAAAAGACGGTTGAAGGATTTTCCTTGACCCTGGACCAAGTGGACAGACACCAAGCTGGCGTCTACCAGTGCTCGGCAAACAACGGCGTTGGGCCTCCGGCTACCATTGACATCAACCTGACCATTCTCTGTAAGTTGAATTTTTTATAAATTATTTTCAAAATTTAATCCTTTTATAAACTGGTGAGGATTTTTAAAAGACTTTTCAATCTATTCATCTTTAATTTCTAGTTTTGATATTTTTACTGGTGTTGTATCGTTTGGAAAATTTTGCATTACAACCAAAACATTTTGCCGTCATGAATAAAACTGCACATCTAATTAAAGTTTTATTCTACTATTTCTTTTTGTGACTTGGGCGTGAAACAATTAATTCTCTATTTCACTCACCGTGGAAAACCGTTGGTGTGACAAGGCAAAATTCTTTTAACCTTTTCAACTATATTTTTTTAAGGACAATTAAAACCCAGTGGAGCATACGTTGATGTTGCAAGGAAACTGCCGTCTGAGGGCAAAATAACAGAAAAGGTTTTTCCAACGTTGCGCGCAGCACTTTTCATAATTACTCGGCACCTCAGGTGCATTGCAATTAAGAAAGAGAGTCTAATAACAAAAGTGGTGAACAATGGAGGCAACGCTGTGACAAATACGGTGCCATTTCTTGCTGAGTGAGCACACACTCGTACGTACATACCACATTTGACAGAAAAGACGTGTCGTGGCAAAATTCTTCACTCAGAAAAACATTCAGCATAGTTACAATTTATTAATAGATATTTTTATAAGAATAAAAACACAAACTTCATTATTGTAAAAATTATAATTATTTTCAACTTTTTGATCAATGAAGATTTTATTTTTTATTTTTTTAAGAATCCTTTTTAAAATAAACACAAACGACACTTAATAATTTATATAATTTGATTTGTACATTTCGTCAGCACGCCGTAATTTGTAATGTCAATTGATTGAAAAAACAAATAATACAGGGTTATTTCCCTCTTCACGGTACAAACCAACAAAAAGTTCTTTGTTTGGATTGTGACCGCACATTCATTGCCGCTTAGGCTGGCGTTCCTCCGGTAAAAAACTAAGCGCTTAACCCCCAGGGCGGGCCAAATGAATGGATTAGCAGGGTCATCAGTTGGAGCTTACGTTTGCCCCGCGTCGGTGGTGGCTTCGGCGACCACCCGGCCGCTCGCAGCTTTTATTTATTATTGCTCCATTTGGCTCGGTTTAGTTGGCGTAATTAACACAGTCATTTGTTTGACATGCAAAACAAGCAGGGCGGCGCAGCACCGAGGCCGCAACTTTTATGGTGACACTCGGAACGCCATCAGCGCCGACGCCGATGCCAAAGGGCACTCTGTTGCAGTAAAAAATTCAACGCAAAACGCAGTGTTTGCTTTTTTCGCCTAGAGGCATTTGTTTGAGAAGAGTTTCATGACCACATAAATTTTGACATTTTTTCATAAGAAAACGACCAAAATTTTCGCCTCGCCTGTGGTTGCCTGTGGAAAAATCAAAATTTAAAAAAAAAAACTAATATTTATTGAAATAATAAAAAAAAAATTATTCGCAAGTATTTAAGTATCCGTTGTATGATCGGCTGGGAATCATGAGTGGGAAAAAATTTAATGGCGTTTTTGATTGCTGCTAAATAATGCAGATTAAAATGAGCAAATTTGTGAAATTGTCTATTTATTTATTTATTTGTTATTTAAATAATTTTAAAATAAGTGGACAAAATAATTACAAAAAAAAAAAAATGAAAGAAAATAATGTAAATTTTAATTTTTAAAACATTCTTTAAAGATATGGCACCATATTTGCATAAAAATAATTATGTCAGGCCTTTTAACGTTATGGATGTGTCATGCAAACCAAAAATTAGCTCTCCCATTTATCTCCCTTTTTGCATTAAAAAAAATCCCAGCCGCAAGAGGGCGGAGCAAAAACTGCTGCAATTCCGTGCTAATTGGAGTTTTTTTTGTCACAATCAGAGGGACGAAACGCGTCGCGCATTTGAAAAAAATAAACGAGCAGCTGAGCTGGCAAACAAGCGGTCCGGGAATTTCCCCGCGACCGGCGTTTTAAGTCCGAAATCGGATTAGGCCGAGATAGAGAGAGAGAAGCGAACAAGGCTGGCTGGTCTCTGTTGGCAAACTGCTTATTCAGATGACATTTTGCACTGCAGCTCCACCGGCCAATTAGATTAGACGCCGCGCGTATTTCCTTGACAGTTAATGCGATAATTTAAAACGTCGGTCCGCCTGCCCACCCGGCAATTGTGCAAATAAACACCTTTCCGCCCGAGCCGAAAGGGGTAACTTAGCCGGTGTGCTCTTGGCAACAATAATAATGATAATGGCGGCGGTAATTCCACTCGCTTTGTCTCGCCGCCATTAGACAAAAGGAGCCGAATAGAGTCTGAACTCACTCGCGTGCACACGCGTTATTAAATATGCTGGGCCCTAGAGTGCCTTTCTCTCATCGGACAGAAAACAAACAGAGAACGTTTCGCACAATGCACGTGGCTGTCCCCGCAAATGTATTCATCTCATCCCAGGTCTTTGTTGCTTTCTGACCCCGCGTCCCAGGATAGTTTTTGCCATGGAATTCCGACACCGCGACCCCATTGTCAAACCCTCAAGTGGATACACTTGCCTAATTAAGATTTCTCATATTATTGCAGCAAGATTAATTCAAATACATACAAAATTAAATATCTGCGGCCCTGAAAAAAATTCTTATTAACAATTTAAATTTTTATTATTATTTCACAAGGCAATTTACCAACGTTTAGGCATGTTTTATATGAAATTATCTACACTTTTTATTTATTTCTATTTTATTTTTATTTTTTGGAACCTTTCAAAATACGTCAATACGAAAGTGCCCATGCACGGAAGCTGCGTGCCCACATGTTCATTTTTTGCATCTGCCAGGGTTGGTTTAAAAATTTATGACGGGCAAAAGTGGATGAAATGGCTGCATACATAATTGACTAGCATGATGGAAAGCACGCCGAGGTGAAACATGCATAAGGCGAATTAAGGCAGTAAAAAGGCGGCGGCGGCAGCAAAAATACAAGGGCGGGTCTTTTCATCCACTTTGCGAAATTTTCTAGCCGGTGTGTGCCATACAGCTGCGCTTCATTTCCTCATCGGTTATTCAGGTCAATGTATGCAAATTAAGTTGCACACTTCTCTTGTATCCTTCGCTATGCACAAAGTGCAATTTTGAACGGAGGCAAATGCGATGCCTGCAAAATGTGCAATTTGTCTTCGAAATTGCATTGTTGGAGTATTATTTTATATGGAAAAGTGTCTTTTTCGTTTCACAAAGAGAGTGACTTCCTCAGAAGATGAATAAAAAAGTACTTTGAGCTCCACAAAAGGCCTTATCTTTTGGCTTTAAAGGCATTAAAATTCATTAAAACGTACCTAGAATTTTTTTATTGCTACCATTTCCAAGGCCACACTGCGTGAAAAGAAACTGCTGCTGCGATTAATTTGTCCCTTTTCATTTTCTTTAATTAACGAGCAATTGTCTCTCCGGGCTTTACCAATGTCACTGTTTTGAAAATGGAAGCGTGGCGAATCGAATGCAGGTAGATCTTCTCACGCACTCTCGCACGGACGGTTTTCAGCCTACAGACCATCAAACACGGTCGGCATGAAAGAAGTGTTTTTGAAAAGACTGAGCACTTGAAAAAACCGCCTCGAGGGGCGTCAATCAGGCGCTCTCCCAATGCACCCCTATTGATCCGTGAAAGAGAAAATCAAAATCATCGCGAGGCGAAATCTTTCGAGTGTCTGTTATTTGCTTTTTTGATCCCCAGCGGCGGCCCCTCGGCGCTTCTCTCTCAAATCGTAAAGTAGCAAATTGAAGGAGAGAAGCAGCGGCAGCACCTGAGACATAAAATTTTAATTGGACCAACGCGGCTGATATAATATTAGATGACTCGGCATTCGGGCAATAATAATAAAAGGTTATTACTGCGTGTGTGCTGCGTAATTATCCCGTCCTTTATTCCTGCATATATTCGTCTCCCATTGTGCGCTATGCACACAGACACACACTGCAGCGTGCCAGCTTGAACGCCTCTTGTTCTTAAGGGCACCAGGACAGTGTTAAAGAAAATGTGTCTTTTAAAATAAATAAAATAGAACATTTATCGTCTCCCATTTATTTAATATTTTAAATTGTAAATAAGCTAAAAAAATATGTCGGGATTCATATTTTTGAGAAAATTAAGCACTAAATTTAATTTGGAGGAGTGGATGAAAAATTTATCTTGTTGAATAAAATACATAAAACCTATTGCTTTTGCAAATTAGTTGCTAAATTTCTACAGAAGCTAATATGCTTATAAAAGAGTCATAAAAATTCAGAAAATCGACCTTTTGAGTTGTCTGGAAGCCGAGGATGGATTAAATTTCACCTTGAGCTCCAGGGGGCGGGGAATCGATTCTTGTCATTTTGAATAAAAAATAAACAAATTTTTTAATAATATTTTCCAAACATGTAAAAATTTTCAAGCGACTAAAATTATAATTCTAACACTGCCCCGAACAGCGAGGAGCAATATTGTCAGCGGTAAGGTGAGCATGCAAGCGGCGTCCATTTTTAGACAGGCTCGGTGTTGAAAATTAGACCCGTCTGAGGCGCAAACCGCACTCCGCAAAATATTATTCAGCTGTATCATTATACGAAACGACCGAAGCGGCACATACGCACACGGCCTACCCATCCTATTATTGTGTGCGAGCGCGCAACGCGCACACCTTTTGTACTAAAATATGACTTGGCATGAAACTTAATTGTTACACCGTAGCCAATTTCGCAGCGCGCCGGTGCGAATTTATCGTGCTAAATTTCCGTGCCACGCGGGGGTGAATTAAGCCGAGCTCTCTCTCTCTCGTCTCCGAAAAATTCAATTCGACGCGCTTGGTTTGCACAAATTTATTGAATTATTCCGCTGCTTAGCTGCAAAATTGCCAGCCAGCTGATTTGAAATTATGCAGACAAATCAACCTAAATATTGCCATTTTTTCTGGTTGTTTTCATAAAATTCCATCCTATTTGATGTGAATTTTTTTCATCCTTTTTGACAAAATGCCGACAATGACTTTTCTCTGGCAGCTTCTGAGTAGCTGCTTTCAAAGTGGGCGCGCCGGCAGACTTTTTGCGTATTAAGGAATGAAAAGGGTTGCATGCAAATACAAAATAAGAGTGCGCCGCCGAGCATCCATTTACAAAGCAAACATACCTATTTCCGGCGATGCGCACCGCCAGGCCTTTTTCATTCACTCTCGCTCCTTTGCGTTCCAAGAGGACGCACAATTTTAGGCGGAATGCCGCTAAAAAGCCAACCCAAGGGGAATGCTTTTCATGCTCTTTTCGTCTCTCTATTTCCAAAAGGCGTGGTTGGTTCATTTCCTGAAATTAGAATCGCAATCTTCTTATATGCGTGTGTTTAAAAAAAAATCATATACTTGTTCTCCATTTTCTGAAGAAATTCAATTTTCCGTTTCAGATCCGCCAGAGATCCAGGTAGAACGCAGCTGGGTCCATTCCGGAGAAGGATTCGAAGCCCAATTGGTCTGCATCGTCCACTCTGATCCTCCTGCAGTGGTAAGTCTTCTCCCCAGGCTTGACTTGCAAATTTCATATTCAGTCAGACCGATGAAATCAATAAAGAGCTGAAAATGGAAATGAATTCGCCGCCCGTCGGATTATAATATTGGCGATTGAAAAAATGAACACTTCGGCTCGCCCTTTGTGTCTTTTGCGCTAATGAAAAAATTGCATGAGCCTTTGACGTTCAGCAACCACCGATTGTGGCTACGGTGGAGTGAAATGAAATGGTGGTCGGCAGCCGTGACTGTGCTGGAACTCTAGACGAAGGGAATTAAAAAGCACCGGATTATTATTATCGAATCAATGAACGAGCACTTGGCTGGTTGCGAATGGCCAAATCCCTATGCTTTTGTCGCTCAAAAGCTGCTGTGCACTAAGGAATTCTGGATATTCTTTTGAAGATAAAAATACTCTCAATCCACTAATGACAAGGAAAAGCGAATATAAAAAGAATTCATTCAAAAGGAATTCGCCGACTGTAGGTTTTTTGTTTGGAAATCTTTTAATTTCTTTGTTTCAATTAAACTCTTGATATTCAATAGAATATTCTCTCATTGCAAAGAGCAGCTTTCAATTTTCATATAAAAAATCGTCTTAAAATTTTAAAACATTCAAAACACAAAAAAGTTTTTGTTGGATGTAAAAATATAAAAATTTGTCTTGTGAAAATCCCTTGCACTTCAAAACAGGTTTTGCAACCTGCGGAACACAAATGTACAAACTGGGGCATAATTTTCTCAAGTCGCTCTTCCTCTCTGTCGAGTGGCAGAATAATTACCCTCTTCAGGTCACGCGCCAAAAAGGAGCGCTTTTGGGTGGATGAAACAATAATCGCACGTTAATCCTCGCTGATTTATCGCACACCATTAGCTGGCTTAAAAAGCAGCAGCCGTGGTCCAGTATCAAAAAGTGCAGCCGCAAAAGGATTTTCTCGGAGCCGTAAAGCTTTTTTACAGGCTCTGTTTTTATTATTATGAATCTCTGGAGATGTACTTTGCGGGCCCGAGGAGAAAAGAGGGTTGTACGTTTCGTCCGCCTTTTTGCGCCCTCGCTACACGTTTTTCTTCCTTCCTGAGCGATTAATTAGACAACCACCTACGAGTATGCAACCCGCCGCCTCCGCATTTCTCTCTCCCTCTCAGCCATAAAAATGTCTGGCGAAGCCTTTTCTTTTTATTTCACTTTGTGCGGCGCGCCTTTCCCCTTTGCCGAATCCAAAGTTCCGCGATTTCGGTTGTCGCTGTTGTGCAGGCGCCGGTCGAGGGGTGGAAAATCGACACCCCTGCACACGGCTGCCCCTGCCGGGAAAAGTGGGAGGCTTCTGACCCGGGGAGCTTGGTGGCGCCTCGTACGAATTCTCACACAGCACAGACGGGAAAGGGGAATTTATGGCGCATTGTCTGCGAATTACAAGTAATTACGTTTAATGGATGTTTTTCATCCTGGGAGTCGAAAAAAGGGCCGAACGGTCGCATCAATTACACCGAGCTGATAAATCTGCCGAGAGGGGGTTTTCAAAATAATTTATTTTCGCCTCCGCAGGTCCTCGGAATCTAAATCGATTTGCAATTAGGAGAAAAGAAAGAGTGAAATGGATTTAAAGTGAGCGGAACAGCGCCAGGAAAGTTTCGAGCTATTACAAATAATTTTGAATTTCCAAATTTCTTAATGCCAGAATGATCATTCAAAAGTTTTGCTTGAAATTTATGTGCGAATGCAATGGAACAGCAGAAAGTGTCGAGTTGCACGTGCTGAGGGTTGCATATTCATGTAATTTGAACGTCTCTAACAAGAGGAAAACTATATAAGAAAAGTTTCTTGCAAGAGAGGAAAGAGGGTTGCGAAGAAAGGGAGTGGCCGGCGAGTTATTTGTTAAGCCTTCGCCATAAGTAATTCTGAAAGAGCATAGTATGTTGCAACGCGACGACAAAAGGGGGCTCACGCGAGGAGGCAATTTGCAGAGAGAAAAGTGGAAAGTGCCGCAGATGTTTTCCTCCTGTTGCAAATCAGGATTTGAGAAATTATTATTTTTCAGAAAAGAGGGGCGTCGTTCCAGAAGTATTTGGCCCTTGAAGAATTAATACAAGTCAGTTCCAGCACGACACCCCTTCTTATATTATTAAGTTAAAATTTATTTTCAGCAATTTAGAGTGCTAAATTTCTGGCGAGTAATTAGGGGCGCTCAGAGTTAATGGGATCTTTGGCACCGAAGCCCTTAATTAGCTTGATTTAATGCAGATAAATCCCGTGGAAAATTATTTTACATAAACCTTTTTCTATTATAAAAAAAAAAAAAAAAAAAAAAAAAAAAAAAAAAAACATGTTTCTTCCCACTAATATTTTGAAAAGAAAAAAATTTAAATGATTTATCAAACAATTTTGTGATGGTTTAGAATAATTTTAATATACATTTTGGCAATTTAATTTGGTAATGAAAATTTAATCAGCAAGCGATACCATTCATCGGCTGCCAAGAGCGACGTAGAACATCATAGTTATTAACGCTTGGGTGATAATTCATGAGCATCAAGTTGTGCAGCCCTGAGGGAGGCCAGGAGGTACTGTACATACAGCGCGCGCACACACGAAACATGAACATAAGCAAGCGAGCGACACGTTGTAATAGAGAAACAACCCCTGGTACGCAGGCAGATGTGATTTTACCACCGCGTGTACCTGTACATTAGTGAGAGCCGCGGGGCTCCCAGACTTTTATTGGCAAAGGTGATGCATCGCAAATGTGCGCCGCTGTAAATCTGAACCGTTCACTCGCGGGATTTATTGCGCGTATCGAACTGAGCAATAATTCACGCCACTCGCTGATGGCCGCTCAATATTGCCGAGCAGACAGCGAATTTCCACTTCAGACGACCAGGCTCTGCATAAATTTGGTTAAAAGATCGGTCTTATTTATTTATCTTTGTTTTGTGATTGGCTTGATAATTTATAATTGTCATATTTTTGGAATCAAAACTAATTTTAAATTTCATCGTCAACTTTTGATTAGTTCTAATTTTTAATTCTCATTATGATTAATTTTTATTTTAATAAAGAATTTTTTATTTATAAACATAATCTAATATAGGAAAAAAATAGATTTTTATTTCATTTTCTCTCTCTGCGTATAATTTTTTAGCGTACATTTATCAAAGATAATTATAGTTACGCAACTTAAATGTTATTAACGTTCATAAATTTTAACACATTATGGCAAATCACGACTCACATACGGCATCACCTAGCCATTCATTCAGAGACTTTAATTGCACCGCGGGCAAAGAATAAATCAACCTGGTAATGAGCACTTAAAACGAAACTAAACACACACTGCGCTGAACAGGTGCTCTGCTTTTTTGTACCTTACTTTACCGGGAAATGTGATAAGCGAGCGTTACACGTTATGGAATTAAAACTTGCTATTTGCTCAATGCAGCTATTCTTATGCAGCATTGCGCCGCCCCGTTGCGGTGAGATGGTGAAAAGGAGATGTGCCACATTCATTACCCTCTGAGAATTATTCTTGCAGACTAGACAAAGTTTTAATCACGAGAATTTATTTCACCTCTCAGCGGTAATTTCCCATCTTCTGACAAGTTCGTATAAACCTAGAGGAATAAATGCTACTTTCGCATTCCGAAATAGATAAAACGGTCCATTTGCTCTTTCGTGCAATTGGAGTTAACTCGAAGATGCACACAAAAGCTGCCGCGCGCGAACCACCAAAACAAGCTCCATTCATGTCCCGCCGCTTATCACGATGATCCTCGCCACCGAGGGTATCTAATTTATCGGGCTCATTTGCGCAATAAACCGAGCAAAACAATGAAAACCGAATGCCCGCAGAGGAAGTAGCGTGCCAAGGCAACACAATAAAGACCCCTGTGCGTTCTCTCTCGGAGAACACGCACCCGCAGTTGGCATCTTTGTGCCACAAATTCTTCTTCAGCGTGGGTAAACAAGACCATTAGATGTTATTTTTTACTACTAGAGTGCGCCGAGTAACTGTAATTAAACGTGCGATTGACTGCGTGTTGCAGGTGAACTGGCACCACGAGTCGTTCTCCCTGCAGGAAAATGACCGCCGCCACATGGAGACCCACGGCATCAAACACACCCTCTCGATCCGCCAAGTTCAGCAGAGCGACTTCGGAAACTACAGCTGCGTGGCCGACAACAGCCTCGGAAGGGCAAAGAAGTACATGGAACTCTCAGGTAAAAATTTGCAATTTTTGCAAAAAATTATTATTTCCTGCTTGTAAACCCAAAGCATAATTAAATCAAGTTCGTTCAATACTGGCATAATTTTAATTAAATCTCTTTATTCTTTTCAAAAGTTAATTTTTCTAAAAATTTTACCACTTTGATTATTGAATGGGTTTGCAATGCAGGAATTAGAATTTTCGTGTGTAAAAATCGTTTTCCGGATTGGTTCACGACGAGCTATGGTGGTTATTTGCATGCATTTTTAATAGAGCTTCTTTCACCCCCTGGTTTTTTGGTTCTCTCTCTTGCTTATTGATGAGTCGTGGGACTGGCCAAAAATGGCCTAATGCAGGTGCTTGGTGGATAATTCAATAGTTAAAGCCGCGGTGCTCTTACTTATTAACGATGCGACCTTCAAACTCCAAACTCTGTGTACGGTGTGTGTGTTTTGGCTTTTTTGCTTCGTGCATTATTCAATTATTTGTCGGCGGACGAGATTTTATGGGAGCAGCGACGAAAATAGCCGATGAGATAAAGCAAACACTTGCGCACAATGCACGTCGTTTCCTGCGGTGCCGTGTTGTTCTACCTTTTTATTACACTGGTGCGCTGTGTATTCTCTAAAAATTTCGTGTTAGATTTTTTAATGTACATTTAGACGACAAGTGCAGACTGAACTTTTTGTAGAGTGCATGGTCAAAGTTAGAAATTTTATAGCATTTTGTTGGTGGTGTTATTAAGGCGGTTCTTTAAAATTATAATAATTTTAAATACTTATAAAGCATGATTTAAAAACTACAGTTTTGCTATTTTTTTTTACTTTTTATTATAATTTTTACTTTTAAATAATTAATAATATAATTGTAACGGGTTATCTTTTTTATTAATATCAAACTTAATATTTAGATATTTAATTCTGGTTCTAACTACTCAAAAAATATAGATGTATGGTAGTGCTCATTTAAACATAATTTTAAAGTACTTTAATTAATAGTGATCTAAGTTTACTTTTTGATTAATTCTGAAATCTGAAATATCTTATCATTGACGCTCTTTGCCTCTTTGTTAACAATTATTAAATTAAATTTGTTGGAAAATAGTTCTTTATTTTCAAAAACTGTCATTCAATGAAAAATGATGCTAATTTTTTTATGTTGTTGCAAACATTTAAATTTTGTATACGTTGAGTACATATTAAGTGAATGTAAACAATCTAACGCTTGCACAATTTCTACTCTGGCTTTGAAAATGCTGTTATTTTATTTCTTTCCTCCTTTCTTCAACTTTCACTAACACTATATTTTCCACCCTGTATCCTCCAATGTAAACAATGACGCAAACGCCAATTAACGCACCCCTGTGGTGTCCACCAGGGCGGCCAAGTCCCGTGACCTTCTTGTCCGAGGCGTACAGCCGAGGTCGCGACTACTACAACCTGAGCTGGGAAGTGACCAGCTGGCCGCCGCTGCTCGAGGTCAAACTTGTGTGGAGACGCGTGCACATGAACGAGACGCACCCGATGGCCGGAAAGTGGCACGACGTGATTCTGGCGCCCAACCCCAAGACGGCGGCCATCGGCCACGTGGGCGAGGGCAACCTGCACAGAGCGTCGTACGTGATCCGGCCGCTGCAGCCCGGCGGCGCGTACGAGGCCGTCGTGCAGGCCAAGAACAAGTACGGCTGGAACGAGGTGTCCGACCTCTACAAGTTCTACACCAGGGGCTCCAGCGGTCAGTACCAAAATGCACACTCTTTGTCACGTTCGTCCCCAAAAACCCTCTTGTCCGGAATCTATGTAATGCACACCGCATACAAAACCCACCCCTGCTTGTTTTTTTTTCTTCATATACGTGTCGTTCTTAAAATATACTTTAGAAATTTAATAAAAACAAGAGTAAGTTTATTATATGCTTATAAGAATGTGATATACGTGCTTGTGAGACGAGGGTCGCATCAGATGAACAAAGGAAAATACGAATTATTATTAAAACTGGGAAGAATTATTTGCGCACCTTGCTCTCGCCTTTCAATGTCTTTGTCCTACCACAGCTTGCATGCTTATTATTATAAAAAAAGAAAATTTTATGTTACTTCGCAAATTATTTTTATGCAAGAGAGATAAAAAATGTTGAAATGCTTGATAATGTATTTATTTAGATTGATTTTTAGGATTATATTCTAAAAATATTTTGGACTTGCAGAGAGTCTACTGGACGACGCGATGAATGACATCATGGGCGAAGCGGGTCCTCACGCGAGCACCAAAGGAATGGCTTCGGCCTCCACCCCATCCCGCCCCCACAGGACTGTGACCCCGGCGCTGTTGCTGCCCATCCTGGTGATTCTCATCGCCGCCTGCAACTTTGTGTAGACTGACCTCCACACCACGAAGGTGCGATATTAATCATAAATTATTCTCTCTTCGCGGCGCGCAGACGTCTCTATTAAAATATTCTTTCATATAAATATTCGCGTGTTGTGTCCTGCGTGTATTTTGGAGAATATTATTTTCATTATTATTACGTCTCTCTCATCCGGGAGGTTTCATTTTACGCGTCGAAAACGATACATTCGGAAAGAGAGAAGATGGAAACAACGCGCGCAACGCCCTTTTTTAATGATGTAAACCAATATGCGGCCGCCGCAGCCACACATATGAAGACGTCATTTGCATGATTAATGGCCGCGCGCTATAAATATTCTTGTACACATCAAAATTTTTAAATTCACATCCTCCACACTCTCTTTCTCTCGCCCGGAGTGGCCAAAATAATACATTCGACTCCGCTCTTTTATTTGGATAAGATCTCGAAGTGACAATTGCAAGAAGTCGCCACATCTCGGTTTGTTTTTCTGGCCTTGGGATTTGCTCCATTCCGAGAAGAATTTCAGCGTGCCAATTTTTTCCTGGCAGATTTCACGCTTGATCTCGAGCACCAGATGTTTTTCTTCTTGGTCACGCTCGGGCCTGTCATAGCGTCTTTTTCGGGAAATATTATTCGCCACTTTCGCGCAACAGTCGCGGGATCGCACGAAGGAAAATAAAAGTAAATGGCGTGCCACGGAATGTTTCTTTTTGCGGCGGAAATGTTGAAAAAGATTCTCACAAAGTCAGGCAAAAACACGGAAATAAGAAATGAAACGTGAGAGGGAATAAATTTAATACCGTTCTTTCTTATATTGTTACATTTATTTTCATACATTTGTATACAAAATATAACTATACAGTCATATAAAGTTGAATATAAAAGGAGCAATCAGTTTTTGTCAGTATTTTGGAAAAAAGATTTTTATTTTGAGGTTCATATTTAACTATAAAACAATTTCAAATAGAACTATTCATTAAATTTTTTTTAAATGTTTTTTTGGGATTAAAAAACAGAAAGCGCAAAAATTTGGATAATAATTCAGTGCATATTATTTTATCTATGTTTTGTTTTTGATCTTGTAAAACTAATGTTTTTTTCCTAATTACAGGTGCAGATGGGGCCCGGCGGTTTTCGCAGCAACACCTTGGCGCACCGATCGAGCGTTTGCAAGCAGCCAGTCTCACTCTTTCTCTGCTCTTTTCCAATCACTCACACACGCAGCCCGGCAAACATAATCACCCACCGCAACCAGTCAGCCGACGGAAAGAATTTTAACTCAAGCAAAAACGACATCATTATCTCTTCTCATCAAATCATCACGCCGCATGACGCTGGCTATCCGAGCTGCAATCATCATCCAACTCACAATATTCCGGTCGTACTTCCCGCAGCGCGATCCTCATCATTTGCCCCGCCACAAACCGAGAAGTGTAATTACGAAGGGATTCAAAAGGAGTGAGTGCTGTTTCGTGAGGCGAAATTTGAATGCACCTGTTTCTCTTCATCCTGCAGTGTGGACTTTTTGTTCGCGGACAGACCCTTTCCTAGCGGCAGTTTTTGACCAAACTCCTTCTTTTCTGACTTTTGGTTTTGACCTCATATCAGAGCAAGCAAAACACGTTGATTTGTAAATTTTAATTGCAAAGTCATTTTTCGCCGATTTTTTGAAAATCGCACAAACTGCCGCTGCGTAACTTGCGCTAGGTTCTTTCGAAAGTGCTGAGAAATGGACTCGGTGACGACTATAATTATAGTTAATTTAAAATGCATAATATACATTGTGTACCATTCTTGTCTGTGAATTTAACGTTTAAAATGAGATAAGTGGCAATGTATGCTGTTGATTCTGCGCACCCAGCAATTCAATTCCTGCCGTTTTGTTTTCTCCGATAGTTTTTCTGAACTTTGTAATTTTCTCTGATCAACAGCTACTAATTTTTGTCCATGTCATGCATGTAAATATTTTGATGTAAGAATCTGATGAGAGATTGAAGTATCAAATAAGAGCTAACAATTACGTTTGGTGTTTCAGAACTCAAAGCTGTTCAATTCTCACAACTCACATACATAATAATTTAGTGTTTCGTCAAAAGAATTATTGCTACTGAATGGTTTCCGGATCAAATTGCATGTTGTGTGCTGATTTTCGATTTTTTTTTTATAATTATTTATTTTTGTGCAAAAATATGTAAATAATAATTCACTCAAAACACAAATACCACAAGAGATTCTGTACCATGCCCAAGTGAAGTTTTCTCAAATAACGCAAAATTGTAATTGTAGTCATTATTCTTATGGCTAGAGCTCCGAATTCGGATTCTGGAGAGCGTAAAGATGTGTGGATCACCACTAAGTCCCCGAAATTGAACTCTTGATTGTTCAAAAGGATCTGTATATTCATGTGCCATTCATTTGGATGTCGTTTTATCTCACAAAACATGTACGGGGCTCAGTGTTGATGATCAATATGTTTCAAAAGCTAAATAAATTTAATAACGAACCTTGACTTGTACACGCTCGTTTTCTTTCTCTAAAATCTAAATCATTACTTGTGTACCAATAAGTGTAGAATAACCCAGACCCAATAATGATAGTAATAGTCACAAACCAATCATGCCGAGTCACTGCCAACAATTTTCTGGCCTCAAATGCGCCGCACGCGGAATATGAAGAGTAAAATTTAGTACACAACAAAACGGCCAGCGATGAAAAAATAATAAATATCATTGGTGCATGCGAGGCGGCTCTGTTTTTTCCTCTGTGCCAAGCAATAATGGCACCACTTGTGAATCGGACTCGAGAGCCCCAGCCAGGCAAAGGCATCTTTTCCTTTCATCCGCTGCTCTGTGATTGACAGCACAATAAAATAACAACCTTCTTATTTCTTTCCACCTATGGTGCTCGCGATGCAGTGACTTTTCAAGTCTCACCAGCCGGCACCGGCGACCGCGCGCGGCGTGTGTTGAATTATTTTCTATTCAGCGCCACGCTGGACGCTATGCATTTCAATCCAAACACTCCTAATTACTTTTTCCTCTCATAGAATTTATTGGAGATGTGTTTTCTTTTTCCCCGGGTCTTTGTGCGTTGTCACGAATTAATTCTTATGCTTGCTCTTTTCGTTCCATGTTTCAGGCACCTCTGTATCTTTTTGAAGGTATAATGCTATAAAATAGCAGCACGTTTGGGAAAACTGGTTGAAAAAATACAAGACATATTTTCTTATGCTTAACTTGTAATTTTTTCAAATTAATTTCTCAGTTTTATAATTGTAATTTTTTTTTAGATTATGAAAAATATAAAAGTATTTTTAAAAATTGATTATTGATTGAATTTATGAAATATTATGTGTAAAAAAAAAATATGTTCATTACGCATTTTCAACATATTGAATCTATTTCTGCGATCTTTAAGAAACATATTTCACTATTTTAATTTAATTCTTCTTTCTCAATAATATTCTGAAATCAAAATTATAATGTACAATTCCTAGAAAATCACTTTCTACTCTTCATGGAAGAAAAGTGCTTGTTTGGTGTTCCTAAATTTCTATTCAGCGCTTCGTGACAAGACCAGAAAGTAATTTGCAAATTTACTCGAGTTTGCAAAAGTCATAAAGATGATAATTCTCTTTATATGGAGCACGAAATTTAATAGGTCGCCGAGTTGTCTTTCTCGTCTCGCGCGCTTTTGTCCCATCTCAGGCGAGCAAATTTCGTTCCCAACACTCACTTGCTCTTCCTTATCTGACGTTAAATAATTCTCGGCACAAAACTTTTTTGGCAATCTTTACTCTGTGAACTCCAGCGGCGCTTTTCATTTCACTTAATACGTGAAATATATAATCCGCGCCGAAGAAAGGTGAAGGCGAAGTTTTTCTTTATGATTTCTCTGCTCTCATCGTCAACGCTGGGAACATCCAATGCTGAAGCAAACCAGAGGGTCCCGCATTGCCAAAGATGCGCCCCTTTGTTCTCGACTTAATTAAACTCGGCACCAGGAGAAAGAAGAAAAGAGATGCCGGAGAAAAAATCGACTACTCACAGCTGAGTGAGTGGATGTCATTCCTTTTTGGACGAAATATTTTTGATCTCGTCTTTCTCTCAATAGCTAATGGTCGCAGCGTGTTGGCTCGCGCACAAACGCACTCTGACGTTGGGCTCTATAGGCCGACGATTCTTTTCGGCCTTGTTTCGTGGAGGCCCGTGATGGAAACGACCATTCCTGGGACTTGATTCGACTCGCTCGAATGGAGCTTTCATTGTGTTTCTACAAACGAATTCGGCTTTTTCCTTTCTAATGGATTGGAACAATGTGAGATATACTATATTTTGGAATAATCTGAAAATTAAAAAGATTCATTCAGAAGTTTACAGCTAAATATTTGATACAAAATTATGTTAGATATTTTGCGTTGATTTTTTGTATCATTTTTATATGTAGAATCCCCTTTAGCGAAATCTCAGCAAAAATTGAATAAATCACGGTGGCATGCTGGTGGTATATAATAAAGAATGAGGAAGCCTCATTTTCTTCTGAAGTGGCAAAAATTAGCATAATTGCGATGGATGTGATATTTATGCTAATTTCGCAGCAAGGGCAGCAGCGAAAAGAAATGCCGAAATCCGAGCGGCCGCAAGAGAGCAGCGGAGACGAAGAGTTATTTGGTGTGCGAGTGTGATTGTTCCAATCATAACCCTCGCGACGGGGTGCCCAACCTTGGCCGGAGCCCCAGCGGGACGCCACGCACTTTTCCTCGCCCCAGAATCCCGGGGGACTTTTAATTAACTAATTAATATCATTAATCTGGCGACCGAGCATTGCAAGTAATTGCGTTTCCTCTGCTGGAGATTTCTCGTGCGTCTCTTTGATTCCTACGCCTCTATTGTTCTTAATCGTTTTTTCGGCGAGTGCTCGACCCGCCTGAATGTTTTTTGGCCTAAACACGCGCGCGGGCCTTTCCTTTGATCTGAACGCAGGTGCCAAAATTCCTTCCATTGTGGGAAAAAACCTAACTGCTACTGAATTGAGAGCTTTTCTGCTGTTATCTCAAATCCATTTGATGAACATTTAATAGGCGGAAACATTTTTTTCCTCCTTTGCCTGCAATTAAGTTATAATAGGGTTTGTTTTGTATGTTCTGTCTTTGCATTTTTTTATGAAATTTCTCTCTCTCTTGTAACCAATGTAATTTATAATATTGAATTAATGGATGATGTATTTGGGCAGAGAATGCCTGATGAATAGTAAACCTGATTTGAAACAGATATAATTCAGATCCTTAAATTCTTCCATTTAGAAATTCCTGTATATCGTCATTTTAATTGATTAAATTAAATAAAAAAAGGTTATTTATTATATTTAAATATAACTAATAAAAATGGATAAGTTAATAAGTGAGAAAAAAATATTGTATATATTTCAAGACAAAACTTGTGCCGCAAATTTGAATGTATATTAATGTAAAAACAATCTCCCCTTTTTTTTAAATTTATATTTCCCAGAGAAAGAAGGAAAAACAGCATTTAATTATTTAAGCATGTCAGCAGATTAGTGATTTCATTGTTTCCTATATTGCAGAGATCATGTTAACATTGTTGAAAGAGGAAACTTTCCACAGAATCCCATTCATTCAAATCCTCGCCGTGTGCATAAATGTGGCGAGCGCACGCAAACATACAACCTGGGGCGCAGATTTGATTCGAGATTTATTCCAACCACCGTCGCCTCTTGATGTGTGCCAGATAAATCCTGGGTGGAATTAATTTTCAACCGCTCGCCGAACGAGAAATCGTACGAGAACAAAGCCCTTGTGAATTTACATCCAAATTGAACACCTGCTGTTGACCGCCAGTGAATTATTTCCCGACCGCGCTCTCAAAATCCAGCTAAAGAAGATAGAGCTAATTTCTTTTTTTAATCAAAGAGTAAAGAGAGCACTTTTATTTTCGCGCCATCTCAAGAACATCGAGTCATGGCTCAGATTTTGGAGGTAAATAAAGTGAGTGAATGGAAGTGATACAAGGCGATTTCAAAGAAATGCCCACTTGATAAGAGGCTTTGAGGGTATAGGTATCTTGAAGAAGGCAAAAGTGTCCGTGTCATGCTATTAAATTGCTGTGGAGGAGCATTCCCAAAGTTAAATAATACAAAGTATCAGGTAGGTATGTCGTAAGTGTGTTGGCTGCCGCTGAAAGGCGCCTCTCGTGAAATTCGCCGCGAGAGTCTAGTGGCATTCACGAGACGAGAAGATATTTTTAATTGATAGGTGCGAAGGCAAAAGTCGAGTTATTTTTTCTCTCACTATGCGCCATCGCGTCAAGACTATTGTGCGACTATATTGGAACTAAATAAACGCGGAGAGAGAGTGTCTAATAAAAGACCACAGTAATCTGTATCATCATGGTTATTTTTTACTTGCAAGCGTTTCTTTTTATGTAATTTTTGTAAATCAATTTTTCAACGCAAATGAAAAACAATTAAATGTTAATCACTTTCTGTAGCCACAAACAGTCAATTTTTTATATTTAAAACCAAAACGTTTTGTGATCATATTCTATGCATGTCATAAATAATATATATCTAACTTAGTTAGAAGAGTGCAGGTCTATATCAACGTGTACGTTCGCTGGAATCGCTAATGCATCTCTCCTCGTATACCGTCTGCTGTCGCCACCAAACGTTGCCAGTAGAAAGGACTGAAGCACCTCTCGTCTGTGTGAGTACAAATTTTTTCTTTTAGTACAGGATTTTGTTTGCAATGATTATTTTAGTTTCAAAAATACAAATGTTTTAAAAATTAAAAGCTTATTTTTATTAGATAAAATTAAATTTTTTAGATCTGCTTCCTCTAAAAAATGGAATAGCTAAATTTAGGAACGACAAAAGCATGCTCTTTCATATTTAGGTTTATTAAATTTTTCAAAACTAAAGTTAGTGTGGTGGTCTTTTTAGTCCATGATCGCTAAAAAAAATGGATTGAGTAAATTGAGGAACGACAAAAGCATTATCGTATCGTCTATATAATAATGTATAATACATCATTATGATTTTTACAGTTTCGTTGATGACTAGGATTTAAAATTTCAACCCAATGAAATATAGCTAAAATGAAATATAATAATATAATATAATATATGTATAATAATTGCTAAATAACATTAATATAGGCCTCACACTCGACGGTGCTGTACCACAGGTTGCATACACTCCATTGGTAATTTAAGGCTTATCTCCCTGTTTCGCAGAATTTTGGTGAAAAGAGTTACGTAATTAGTCTTATCGCGTATGCATCGTGCACGGCAAATATGTTCAGGTAGTATAAATTTGAAATAAAATCAAAATGCCTTTCCCGTTGCAGATGTTGAGCATAAATCACTCTGTGCTCCCGTGCGTTTGCTCTGAAAACATGTAATAATTCCATTTTTGACACTTCGTGTTGTATTAATTTAATGACCAACGGAGTGGCCAGCGGAAAAAATGGACAGCAGCAAACAGAGAAAAGCATTAAAA